CTCAAATATGATATTGAGAGTATAGTAATAAAATGCTATAATGAATTTAGCAACTCGACAAAAAGAGTTACAATTTTAAAAGAATTGGTAGAATGGTGCGATTTAGAATGGTCAGAATTACTTCGCCATGTTCCAACACGCTGGCTTACATTAATCCCAGCGATTGAGCGGATGCTTAAGTATTTTCAACCCCTTAAAGAATATTTTTTATCACTATCAGTAACCCCACCAATTTTGAAAATATTTTTTGAAGGATTTTGCAGAAGCCTATTTAGGTGTTGTCCTTAACGTTGGCACTTTAGTTAATAACATATTTACAATTGCAATCTGAAGATGTATTAGCAATATATATACATGATCTTATCCTAAAATTAAAGAATTCATTAAATTTAAAAATTCAATAAAATTTTTATGGGAGCATTTCTAAAAATATTTTACAACATAATAATGATGTAGAAAAGGCAATAAATTTCAATAATGAATCAAAGATATTTATAAAAAATATTATAGATTATGTAGAAAAACGTTATGATATAATAGATAATATAGGGAAATATCTTAGCCCTATGACATTGGATAAATGTCCAGCATTTGAGCAATTACAAAAAATTATTATTAATTATAAAATACCAGATATAGATATAGATAGTCTCTTTGAGGAATATTCGCAATTTTATTCATATTATGAAGAAAAATTATCGAAAAACAATCATATGAATGCTCAAGAAAAATGGATGGATTTCCTCTCTAATAAAAATTCACCCTTGATAGAGAAAATATGTGATTTTATATTTTCTATTCCACATTCAAATGCTTCATCCGAGAGAATATTCAGTTTAATGAATACTGCTTGGAGAAAAGAACGCAATCGATTACATTTATCAACATTGGAAGCGGAACTTATGGTGAAACAAAATTTTAATTATTCGTGTAAAGAATTATCAGCCTATCTCCACAGTACTGATGGGAAATCTTTATTACCTCTTTTAAAATCATCTATAAAATATAATAATTAATATTATGCATTAGATTAGTAAATCAATTAAGAATTTGAATTTTCATTGTCTTAAAATTTTTTTAAATATAACATATTTACATAGATTAGTATGTTATACGCAAATTGGGGGGTATGGGGGGTGAAGCCCCCCATTAAAAGAAAAACTCACGTTTTCAAGTGAATAATATCTGGCAACCCTGGTACCAAGTCATTAACCTCATTCACGATATCGTGTTGTGGAGGACAATTATTGGCTAATTTTTAAATGCAATCTGATTCACAATAAACATTTCGTTCACATTCTATTTGGACTATCTCCATGTTAGGCCCATTTCTAAAAATTTTTTTGGTTCCTAAAAATATTTTTTATATTTTATGAATACATTTTTTAAAAATAAAAATGTAATGGGAGAAATAACTGCTGTTCAAAGAATTATTGGCTTAAAAAATACTATATATTCATGTCTGCTGAAATACCTAATAGCGCTAACCGCACTTTATATTGTAATAAGGAACAGGAAAAAATGTAAAGTAATGAGTTTGGTGAAGGTGAAAATGATTAAGGTGTCATCAGAATAAGGAAAATGAGCCTAAGTTTCCAAAAACAAAATGGAGAGGTAAGATATTTTAGTTATTCTTATTGAAAATATTTTACAACTGAATTAAATCAGATATTACCAAATAGGCCAACACCTGAAGAGGATCCTAAGACTAAAAGATTTTTCCAACATTTTTGTATAAAACTAAATGACAAATTAAAAGAAAAATTAAATCAAGATGGTCAAAAATTAAAACTTTTTGATAAACAATATTACTGAAGAGGGATTAGTAATAGAAATTGTTAAAAATTTAGAAAATTATAAAGATTGTGTTACATCAGATTTTGTCATATTTTTCAAAAATGCATTTCTAAATATTCTGTATCAGTTTAGATTATCTACCTCGAGTTGTGAGTCAACTTTTTCATCATTAGAATTATGAAATTAGATAAACGTTCGAGTAGTAATATAAGGAAAGGTGTTTTATTAGAACTTGGAAAAAACATACGAAACTTAATTTTAGAAATGTTTTCAAGGCATTTAAAATATATCTCAAGCCAAAATTATATTGTTAATGCTTCATTTTTATTACTGCTCAATCATTTATCATAATATCAATTGTAATATAGTTAATATTTTATTAATTTCATATATTTTATAATTGCATCTTTACCAAGTATTATATAAGCACAATTAACTCTATCAACGTTACTATATAATATTTGTAAAATAAATCAATTTATTTCCTTCCAGCTAAAGTCAATTCTCATCTTCCATCTAATTTTATAAACATATTTGATCATAATTATATTTTTTGTATATATTTATAGGCTATTGTTACTTGCAACTATTGTTGCATTGAAAAATTTATAAAAAAAGTAAAATTTTCATTTTTTAAAGAACGCATGTTGTTTTTTTTTACCATTAACAATATTTATTTATTTCAAAATAATTTTTTTTTTATTTATAAATAAATATATTTTTTTTCATAAATAAAAATTATTTTATTAAAAATGGAAATTGTGAAATAGATACTATTGCAGGTAAAAAATATATTTTTTTATGCCAAATATTTATTTATGGTATTAAATTATATAAAAGTAAAATTTTCATTTTTTAAAATAATTTTTTTTTTATTTTGAATAGATAACAGCAGAAGAATTCCATGAAAATGACCAAAAAAACAAAATAGATTATATCTTAATTCTTTTTATACTATAGGCATTACAATAATCTGGATAAATTGAGACTCTTCATAAGCAAATATTTTTATTAAACTATAAATTATAAATATGTTTTTTTCCTAATTAATTAAATTTTTCATGTTTAATCTAATTTTCACAATATATATATTTAGTCTACACTAAAAATAGATAACTGCAGAATAATTCCATGAAAATGACCAAAAAAACAAAATAGATTATATCTTAATTCTTTTTATACTATAGGCATTACAATAATCTGGATAAATTGAGACTCTTCATAAGCAAATATTTTTATTAAACTATAAATTATAAATATGTTTTTTTCCTAATTAATTAAATTTTTCATGTTTAATCTAATTTTCACAATATATATTTAGTCTACACTAAAAATAGATAATAGCAGAAGAATTCCATGATGACCAAAAAAACAACTCAAAACTTAGATAAATAGATTATATCTTAATTCTTTTTACAATAAACTGAATATTTATTTCTTTTTCATAACATTTGTATTTTAAATATGATTACACTATTTAAATATATTATAATAAAAATAGATACAATTATAATAATTTTGAATGCAATTTGTGAAATGACAAGGTTTTAGGTAATTGTAATTGATCCTGTATGGGTAGTTCTATATTCTTTTTGGATAATTGTAGATTTTCTTTGGGTAGTTCTAGATTCTCTTTGGATAATTGTAGATTTTCTTGATTCGTGATATCCTGCATTATAGAAAGATCGATTTCATTATCTATTTCTTTATTTAAAACTTTTTTTTTGTTAAAAATAGTGTACTGCATTTTTTTCTTTTTTCTATTTATTTTTTCAGGCATTTTTAAATTTTTAACTAATTCTAAGGAATTCAAAGATGATGGTAAACTATTAATATTCTCTTTGTTTTCCAATGTATTTATTCTTTTTTTGCTTTTAAGATATTCTAGGTTACATACCTTTTCACATGTTTCTTTTAATTCCTGAAAGCATATAATCATCAGGTCATTTGGTAGCTCCTTAATAAAGTTGCCAATATTATTTTGAAAATATTCTTGTGTCATTTTATATATTTCTATATCTGTTGATTCACATTTATTTTTAGTATTTTTTGAAATAATTTCTATATCAATATTATCATCCCTTTCTTCATAATTTATACTATTTTCACTTAAATATGGGTATAAATTGTATTCCTTCCACCACCTTAAAGCACATAAGGAATCATCATAGAGGGAGATATTGTTATCTTCCCTGTATCTGAAAATATGTTTACAAGGTAAAAGATACCTTTGCTGGAAACCACAATTACATAAATTTTCACTAACATTGAAATCTTCATAAGTTATATTAAAAGAATATTTTATTTCAAGGTTGACTCTTTTATAAGCTTTTAGAGTCAATAATTTGGAGAATAAAAATTGTGGGGAAGATGGTGGCAGACTTGTATAATTAAGTCTACTATTTGTAAGGATTATATCTTTATTCTTGTCCTCCAAACAATTTAAATATTCATTTAAATTTTTATAAAAAATATGTAAGGAAGAATTCCTTTTAATAATTCGTTTTAGGGCACGATTTGTCCCTTCAATTCTATTATTTGTAAAATTCCCAAAATTTACTGATTTATTTCTCCATGCCAAGCAGAATTCCTCACGAATTCCATGCCAATTTGTATCAAAGTATAAAAATACCTTTTGATATTTTGAATTTTTTAAATAATAATAATATTTCCAATATATGCCAGGGGTTTCTGCATAAATTAAACGTCTAAATAGGACATGCATTTTTTTGACTTCAATTATTGTTAAATTATATTTTATTGTTGTTAACTGTCTTTTGAATATTTGTAGAACATGAAAAATACAAATTTCCAATTTAGCATTGGGAAATTCATCTTGATAGATTGCTCTTTCTGTAAAATTTTTATCAGATATAATTGTAAGAGTTTTTAGGAAAACATTATTATAATTTTTAAAAATCTGGCACATATTTTTAACTGTGGTGGAGCTCTCTGATAAAACTAACCAGATTGCAACTATTCTGGTATTCTCTTCACCATCTATTACACCCAAAGTGAAAATTGGCAAGTGGTAGGAATTTAAATTATATGTTGCATCAATTAACACCACCTCTGGATATCGCAAATAATAATCTTGCATTTTTTTAGTTTGATAATATAAGGCTTTAAATATGCCATTTTCTTCAAATAATTCCACAATATTGGTTATGTCTAATTTTATAGTTTTAATCAGATCTTCCAGATCATTAACACTACATGGATTTTTCATATATTGATGTTTTAGATTATATAAATCCCTTTTGGTTATATTTAAATTCTTTCTTTTCATTTCTTGATGTATCAATGTAAGATTTCCATCATATTTAAGAGCTTGGTGAATTATTGACTTTTGATCACCATCCAATTGTCTTTGCCGGCAAGATGCCATGAACAAAGATAGATCTATAAATAAATTATGTTATATACATTTAAAAATAATAAAACCTCTATCATGATTATGTATATCATGTATACTGATACATTTTAGATATGGTCCATCTTTGGCAAAAGAAATTCTGGATAAACAATTTTTCTTGACAGACAATCTTTGTCTTTTTCCTTTAAAAAATTTTAATATATACTTTAACCCTTTTATACTCCGTTAAGTATTATTTAGGCAAATTAAAATTAGCTAAAATGCATTTCAGGAAAACATAACATTATTATCATGTTCCAAAAAAAAGAAAAAATGTCATAATGCTATCAACATTCCATCATAATAAAAATATTGATAATAATAACCAACAAAAACCTGAAATCATAACAAGTTTAAGGTTGTTCTATCTTATATTCAAATATTAAATCAAAATAATGAATATAACTGGAGATATATACATTTGAAATTGGGGTCTATTAAACCCCACCGGAGTACTAATAACGTCATTTTTTTCACTGGTGTATGTATTGAAGGGTTAATAAAAATTAAAACCTTTTGATTTGGATGGTCTGACCTTGCCCTCATAACATTGGTAATAAAGTCGTTCGTACATTATTGTAGACTTAAGTATTGGGTCCTTCGATTTTTTAGAACGGTGTATTGAATAATTTGTCGCATTAGAAATTTTGTATTTATTTAGCCATTCTTTTAAAGTGAAGAATGACGAATATCTAACATTTACTTCAAAAGGTATGTAATAATAATAAATAATATTTTTTACTTGCAAGAGTTGTATCTATCTCATAATTTCCAGTAGGGCTTGATTCGATCATAGGAGGGACTAATACCATAAATAAATATTTGGCTTAAAAAAATATATTTTTTACCTGCAATAGTATCTATTTCACAATTTCCAGTAGGGTTTAATTCGATCATATTTGACTTTAATTAATTATAAAAAAAAATGGAGAGCTAATTTTTAATAAAATAATTTTTATTTATGAAAAAAAAAATATTTATTTATAAATAAAAAAAAAATTATTTTGAAATAAATAAATATTATTAATGGTAAAAAAAACAACATGCGTTCTTTAAAAAATGAAAATTTAATTAATTAGGAAAAAAACATATTTATAATTTATAGTTTAATAAAAATATTTGCTTATGAAGAGTCTCAATTTATCCAGAATTGTAATGCCTATAGTATAAAAAGAATTAAGATATAACTTATTTTGTTTTTTTGGTCATTTTCATGGAATTATTCTGCTGTTATCTATTTTTAGTGTAGACTAAATATATATATTGTGAAAATTAGATTAAACATGAAAATTTTAATTAATTAGGAAAAAAAGATATTTCTAATTTATAGCTTAATAAAAATATTTGCTTATGAAGAGTCTCAATTTATCCAGTTTATTGTAATGCCTATAGTATAAAAAGAATTAAGATAAGTTTTGAGTTGTTTTTTTGGTCATTTTCATGGAATTCTTCTGCTATTATCTATGTAGACATATATATTGTGAAAATTAGATTAAACATGAAAATTTTAATTAATTAGGAAAAAAAGATATTTATAATTTATAGCTTAATAAAAATATTTGCTTATGAAGAGTCTCGATTTATCCAGTTTATTGTAATGCCTATAGTATAAAAAGAATTAAGATATAATCTATTTTGTTTTTTTGGTCATTTTCATGGAAATATTCTGCTGTTATCTATTTTTAGTGTAGACTAAATATATATATTGTGAAAATTAGATTAAACATGAAAAATTTAATTAATTAGGAAAAAAACATATTTATAATTTATAGCTTAATAAAAATATTTGCTTATGAAGAGTCTTAATTTATCCAGTTTATTGTAATGCCTATAGTATAAAAAGAATTAAGATATAATCTATTTATCTAAGTTTTGAGTTGTTTATTTGGTCATTTTCATGGAATTCTTCTGCTATTATCTATGTAGACATATATATTGTGAAAATTAGATTAAACATGAAAATTTTAATTAATTAGGAAAAAAACATATTTATTATTTATAATAAAAATATTTGCTTATGAAGAGTCTCAATTTATCCAGTTTATTGTAATGCCTATAGTATAAAAAGAATTAAGATATAATCTATTTATCTAAGTTTTGAGTTGTTTATTTGGTCATTTTCATGGAATTCTTCTGCTATTATCTATTTTTAGTGTAGACATATATATTGTGAAAATTAGATTAAACATGAAAATTTTAATTAATTAGGAAAAAAAGATATTTATAATTTATAGCTTAATAAAAATATTTGCTTATGAAGAGTCTCAATTTATCCAGTTTATTGTAATGCCTATAGTATAAAAAGAATTAAGATAAGTTTTGAGTTGTTTTTTTGGTCATTTTCATGGAATTCTTCTGCTGTTATCTATTATTCAAAATACCATAAATAAATATTTGGCATAAAAAAGTATATTTTTTACCTGCAATAGTATCTATTTCACAATTTCCATTTTTAATAAAATAATTTTTATTTATGAAAAAATATATATTTATTTATAAATAAAAAAAAAATTATTTTGAAATAAATAAATATTGTTAATGGTAAAAAAAAACAACATGCGTTCTTTAAAAAATGAAAATTTTACTTTTTTTATAAATTTTTAAATGCAACAATAGTTGCAAGTAACAATAGCCATATTTATATGTGGTATTTTTCAAATAAAATCGTATATTTCAAATGGTGTGGTCGCGTAAATGCCTAAAAATTAAACAGAAATAAAACTTATATTCATTTTTTGAAATCTGGGGTCTAAAAGTACGGTCAATACATTGTAAAAAATAAAACAATTTATAAAAAAAAAGTGATTGGAAATCAATGATCCAATTTATTGAACATATATAGTTTAAGGAGAGATATATTAATTCCATTAACGATCAAGTATTGGCTATTTCATTGCGAAATAATAAAGCTAAGTTTATGGTGAATTCTTTTTGAGATGATAAAGTATCCACGATACTTTTAAATAATACTAGGAATGGGAGTAGATCTTCCATTAAATCCGGATTAGACTAAACAATTTAAGGCTGTGTTTCTCCATTCCATTTAACATGATATTGATTTTAGCTTTGTTAGTACAACTAACACTTTTGAGCATCATCAAAATGCTATGCTAACTTGTAGGCATATTATTAAAGTTTTATGATTTAATGTTATATATCATTAACATAATTATCTGGTTCAAAACGCTATTCGATGAAAAGATCTTCTTCATCCATCTAATAAATCCGATGTAAAAGATCTATTGCCTCTAAACATTTTCTATTCTTCGAATTAATTAAATCACCAAGATCGGAGGTCTTGAATTTTAATGCAACTTATAATTTTTCAAATAATATTTTCAATTCTACTCACTTTCTTTATCCCATCCACTATTACCGAATCATGTAATTCATGTCCCAAACATAGGTGTTATATTCACCTTGGACATAGACATTAAGGCGTGCATTCGTGACCATTGAAATGTTCTTAGTTCTTAAATTGAACATGTATTCAACTTAACCTATTTCTGAAAGATTTGTTTCCCCATTATGTTTATGGATTATGTGGGTTGACAATAGATCTGGCGGGCTTTCCGAAGCCCGACTCAGCCAGAGTTCGAGAATTGAAAATTATTTTCCTCGCTCGAAAAATAAATATTAAAAATACAAATATCTTTTGTCAAAAATGTGAATGAGAATGACTGATATTGATGTCTTTTTAATATGTCTATTATTATATTTTTTCTCTGTAAAACAATTATACCATCTTTTTTTGACATCAATAATGCAAATTATTTTTATATAATCATGATAATTTTTAAATTCGTTTGTATTTAATTTTATTTTTTAATATGTATACAAATTAAATAAAATGCAACTTTATATGAATATGGGAGTTAAATATACTTTTATTTAAGGTGGCATGAGAATAAAAACACATAATCTTTACTTTTCTTAGATATTATAATATATAAACACAAATTATAAAAAAAAAAATTAAAAATGTGTGCTCGGGCTCGGACAAAAATTTTCTTAAAATTCTGGCTCGAGTCGGACCATGAAAAAATCACTTTGCATTTCTAATTGACAATATATAATATTCAATATTAAACATATCATCTATCTGATGCAATGTAGCTTTAACAAATCAGATACTTCTTATTGCATAAAAATAATTAAATTAATAAAGAAAGATTTATAATTATAAATATTAATGTATTTAATAAATTATAAAAATTAATGTTTTTAATAATATAATAGTGATTAGTGATCTGCATCGGGCCTAATTTTTCAAGCCCGGCCCGAAATTTTTTTTAAAAAAGTTTTGCCAGCCCGGCCCGAACCCGAAATTTTTTAAAAATGTTTTGCCAGTCCCAACCCGAAATTTATTTTAATAAAATTTACAGGCCCGGCCAGGCCCGAATTTATTTAAATAAAGAAATTAATTTTTATAATTACTTAAAATAAAAGACATATGTTATATAGCGTTTAGTTTCAATAAATTAAATCAAAAATTTCTATTTTACATAAAAAATTCAATATAAAATTGATAAATTTAGATGTATTTAATAAAATTTCTAAGGTCCGACCCGACTTGGCCCGATTTTTTTTAAAAAATATTAATCCCGGCCCTGCCCGAACCCAATTTTTTTTTAAAATATTAGGCCTGGCCCGAACCCGATTTTTTAAAATAGAATTAGGCCCCAGACTCGGGCCGGGCCTAACTTTGCAGATCTCTAATAACCATAATACTTTAAGCCGAGCCACTGCTGATTAAGAAGTCGGCAACAGCGCACCAATCACCGATTTTTTTTCATCGGTGGAGTAGCATAACTATAGAATAGCAACTGAGCTACAAACGCTACTCAGAAGCAACATTTATTTTGTATAAAGGATAAAATCAAGACGCTATCTAATATTTTAATAAAACGGATAGAATATCAATAACGTTCACCGCTAAACATCATTATACATATTGTAGAAGTAGCACATCAAAATTAAAAATATATTTTTTATTATCAAAAAATATAAAACATTAGTTTACAATATTTATAAAAATTATATTTAATATTTTGCAAATTAAAAATTATTAATAAACTTAATTATTTGATAGGTGTCGAAGATATGATTTTAAAAAAGTTTCTTTATAATAGAATTCTTAATTGGTAAAATTTATAATTTTATTCAAAATTTTTTCCTCAAAATTAAAAAAATATATACTATAAATATAATTACCTAGATTTTTAAAAAAACCATTTAAAAATGACCGGGATTGAGAATAATTAAAAGGGCCACTATACAATTACATAAAAAAACTTATCAAAGATAGTTGAACTAACTTATAAAAAAAGACAGCTTTAAAACTAGAAGTTTATATACCCTTATGTAGAATTTAATCGATAGTCTTAATATAAAATTTTAATATATAAACAAAATTGCGCACATCGCGTTGTTAATGAAATGAATATAAAGATAAACTTATCTAATACTTAACTATCTCAAATATTTCCAACATAATTATAAATGCGATCTTCAAAATTACTGTCAAGCTTATAAAAAAATTTTTTTTAAAAAAAAGAGTGTCTAGAGTTTATATAAAAAACATGTGTTGATTATAAAATTTTTGTCAAATTTTTTTTAAAAATTGGCTCTGAAGGGATTATATAATATATAACAATAATCACATAAATTTTTTTTATATTCTATTCAAATCATTCTATAGAACTCTCTCTTCTTACTTTTAGAAGTGACTTTTTTCTCTTGTTTTTCATCCCCTTCCTTCAAATCTTCCGCTTCTTCTTCCATTTCGACTTCTTCTGGAGTATGTGGTTCCGAAATAGAGGGACTAGAATTGGTCTCAGAATCTTCCGAATCATGATCCAGCGCACGCCGACGGATATCGTAATTGTTACTAGCCTCCTCTTTCAACTCTTGAGCGTTATTCTCATCTAAGGCCCCGTGAAACTCGAAACGAGCCTTGAGACCAGCGCTCCCCACGTCCAGGCAGGGTTTCGTGAGCGGATACAGGCCTAGACCTGTCTTGAATTGACCTGGGTCATTTATGTAACGCGATTTTTTCTAGCATGAATATTTATTTTTTTGAAATGGAAAATTTTAAGTTAGTTTGCCCGTTGAGAGGGGAGAGATACTACATTAGGTTTACAGTAAAGGGTAGATAGGTAAAGAGACAAGCCTTCCATACCTATTATTTTTCTATTAAAATTTATAGGATTATTTAAGGGATAAAAATAATTAGAGGTTAATACTAATTATGGAAAGGGTAGGAATAGTTCAGGGGGAAAAAAAATAGATTTGAATAATTACCAAGATTTGTGAAATAGTTTTCTTTTTTTTAGGTTAAAAGATGTAATAATTAATAATATTTGAGTGATCAAGTGCCGACGTGAAATAGGTTTCTCCAAAATTATATTTTATAATAATTACCGTATACACATCGTTAAGATATTTTTAAAATGAAATGGATAAATAACAAAATGGGCAAATGTAATTTTGAAAAAGTGCACCAAATATTTATTTACCTTTTGTATTTTAATAATGTCGGTGTCGTCTTTCGAGGTGAATTCATCACTACTAGGTATAACATGAGTTGACAGCTTTTTGCGAGCAGAAGATTCGGGAGAAAAGAATTCCTTAAAAAAATATTGTATAATTTTTTTAAAACACCCTATTTTCATTTTTTTTACAAAATATTTATTTTAAATGTCAACTCATCTAACAAAGTTCCATTTTATACGTTTATATCATTCATTGAATTTCTAAAACCTTTCAGAGATCTCCAAAGGTACCATTTATAAAAAATAATGATTATTTTCAGGCTCGCCCTTCCGGGTTCAAAAAATTAATTTTAAGACCTGACTATTTTTTAAATACAACATTTAACATACCGTAGATTATTTAAAGCTAGAATAGAGGTATGTCTATTCAACAGTTTACTATCTTATGCTACAGTCTCAACATTATCAAATCCAGCACAATTCCCTCATTCCCTTCTCGATGTAACTAGATCTTTACTTTTAAAATATCAAAAAAAAATGTAATTACAAACTAAAGATAAAAATTACCTGAAAAAATTTTAAAAGATCATCTTTGGTAATCCTTTTTATTTCTTCAATCTCCAATTGATCTGTTTTAAAAAAATAATATATATTATTTTAATATTATTTTTTCTATCTAAAAATGATTAAATAAATAAAATGCTATAAAGAAATTCTTGAAAATTTTTTTTTTTAGAAACAATATAAAAAAATTAATCGGATATATGTGAATATATAAAAGTGATATTAATTTCACCTCTGTCAAAGTTGTACTGGTTGGAAATTATTTCACCCCAATACTTATAACCTAATTCCACCATTTTTTTTGGTTTTTCACTCAAATTTATTATTACGGACTCGACATTTTTCTGCCAAACGCTGTCATTCATTTCCGATATATAATCCTATATCAAAAAATTTGGATTTATTTTTATTAAACAACATAGTTATATTATATATAAAATATCGAAAGAAACCAAAATTTCAATCACACTTTTTTTATCCTATTAATTGCAGAATAGAAAATTAACTTATAGCTAAATAAAAATATCACGAATTCTTAGTTAAAATGATTGGTTTTATTTTATCTACCATACCACCTAAAAATGAGTAAAAAGTAATCTTAATATGCATATCATATATTTTAACTACTTCCATATGCAGAAGAAAAGCCTCAATCCTAGAATCTAAAAATGAAGGCATCCTATCAGATTGTATTACGACTCTTAAACCGTGAACACTATTCGATTGACGAACACTGGTCATACAAACATAACCTAGGAAAAAAATAATTTAATTTTTTTAAATTAATTCCAAACAGATTAATTAGAAATGCAAAATCAAGGTTTTTCATAAATTATCAATGAATAAAACACTATACCTAAAATCTTAATATTTCCAATTTTTTCGTTCTTTCCCTTCTTTAATAATCATTTCGATTCGTTTATACACATATTTATTTATATGAATAATAAAAAATATATTAATTCCAATTAGAACTAATAACTAGAATAACAATATTCTTGAAATATTTATCGTTTATTTAGATATTATAAACACAATCTATTATTTTAAAAAATTAGCATTAACATTGAGAGGTGTTAGCAAAAAATTATGTTATTTTTGATTTCTTAAAAAGATGACCTTGAGAAAAAATTCAGAGGCTAGGTTAATAATCGAGCATGTAATTGATTTTATTATACTTAACATTTGCTTCCCTGTGGAATTTATGAATAATAGAGTTGTTTAAATCAATAATAATAGTATTGAATAAAAAGTAATATGCTCATTTATAGTGTTGTGAGTGAACGAAGTTCGTTTTTTTGAAAAAAGGTGATGAACGGCGTTCCTTTTTTTTGACGAACTTTGAACGTGAACGCGTTCCTTTTCTTTGATGAACGCGTTTAATTTTAAAAACTCTTTTTATTTTTATCTATTTGAAAAATTAATATTAATCCGCATTTTTTAACAAAAAAGTCTTATATTTTTATTTATTTGAAAAATTAATATTTATTCCAATTTTTTAACAAAAAAGTCTTATATTTTTTAATCAGCTGTTTTTACATTTTCCTCTTTCATATTGCAATTAACGTACCATAACGTGTAGAGAAGATAAGATTAAAGTTTATTAATTGCATGGATATAAATATTTCATCATCAGATTCTGAAAATCATAATTCAATATTAGATGAATTAGAATTACCATGGCCCAAATATCATAAATATTTCACTGTTTTAAAATCAAAAGGTAATTCAATAGTTTTTAGTATAGCTAACGCTGTATTAACTGCCAAGCGTTCATGCCTATCAGATGAAAATTTTAAAAAGCAATTTTTATTAAAAATTAATAAGAAAATTTTTTTATAAATTTATTTTTTTATCGCTCTATTATATTGTATTTAATTTATAATTATATTATCAAAATAAAACTATTATTTTTTATCATGGCTAATATATTGTGTTGAAAAATATAAGGCATTTATTTATATTAAATTAAATTTAAAAAAAAATTTATCATAAAATTTTGAACGCATTGAACGCGTTCCTTTTTTGGATTTTGAACGTGAACGCGTTCGATTTTTGTCAAAGAACGTTGAACGCGTTCTATTTTTTTAAAAATGTTTACAGCACTACTCATTTATAATAATTTTATACATTGTGAGAAATTTAAATTTTTAATGTTAACAATATTTATTTTAATTTAATATTTTTATATAACCTAGAATTAATATTTTAAAACTGCATCTGAATTAAAATATACACAAAATTTTGTATTGATTTAATGAAATTAGATATAATTTAAGTTTTTTTATCTCTCCTTAAATTTAAAGAATATTTAAAATGATGTTGAGTTTATTATACCAAAAATAATTTCAGGATTAACACACCAAAATTTCATTTATAATAATAAAATTTAGCAATTTTTTATAACTTATCTGCAAAATAAAATGTTATTATAAAAACTAACAAACACAAGGAAAAAAGTTATTGAATTAAATAATGTATTTCATTCAAAAATCATAATCATGTCAACCCTAATTGAAAGTTTAGCATGAAAAACTGATTAGCCATCATTTTTGGTTATGTGTAAACTTAAAAAGTAGATACTCTTCAAATTCAACCTAATCACACTATCCTGTGATTAAAAAAAATAATTAAGCAATATTTAATAATCATCAAAACCGGCAGAAATGCCTATTTTCAATATCGACCTGGCCTCAATCCTTTTCTCTCTTTTAAGATCTTTATTTTTCCACTTTTTCTGCTATGGCTACAATATCTTATTAAAAATGCTAACATTTAAAAAAACATAAATATGAATTATACCTAATTGCTCCTTAGTTCTGAGTATATCAAAACATGGTTCACCAATAATTTGAGAGACTAAATCAAGCAAAGCCGTGTTTCTAATATCTCTTAGCCCGATTTGATAATAGGTATCGATGGCTGTACTCTTGTGGACTGGGTTATCGACTTGGTAAATGTAATACGAACCTAATTGCATTTTTCCATAAATAATATTTCTTGGTATATTTAAAAATAAAAATTTTGAGAGTTTAATACCTTTTTTACACTAGAGGCACCTGAGTTGTTAAAAGATACTTATCAAATGTATCTTAAAAAGTGAAGTGAACCAGACATTTTTTATTCAATTTGATATATTATTTAAATGATTATAAAATATCATTGTTTTTATCACTGAGATAGGTAAATTTTTTTAACTGGCGCGATGGAAGGTAGTGTTGTGTTATACTTTATAAATAACCTTAGGATATTCTTACAATATAGCTAAAAACAGGACACTCATTCAAAGTTTGATGGGTGTTAAAATAGATATCTTTTTGGAAACTTTGAAAGTTCATCGACTATCGCTATGTCAATATTTTTTCTACTTAAGTTATATATTTGAAGCCAAGTCCAATTAAGTATAAAAATTTGCTGATGCTGTGTTGTTTGTTTCTTTTATTTCTTATCAACATCACTAATAATAATCATCTAAAAATTTATATTATATAAAGGTTTTTATTAAGACAATTACCATATTTTCGTCTGCATAAAATAAAGTTTGTATTGAAATGGAAAGAAATAAACTGGCACAAATATTTAATACATTTAATACAAAAAAATAGGATTGAATCAAAATATTATTAATAAAGGTAAAATAAAATTATATCTGTTGAATGTATTTATAAATGAATATAGATAAAACTAAAAGTATATCTAGATATAAATATTTTTTTAAAAAAATATCTAGATAAAATATAGGTATTATATTTAACAACTTGATAGACGCAAGTTTATAAAATAATATATTGCCTAGCCTACCCCCATAAAAATAATCTAAAAAACAACATCTCATTTTTGCAGAAAAGATATAGTATAAATTTATATTAGATATAAATTAATATTATCGAATTTATAATTTACCTTTAGGTATAACGTGTTCTCGACTCTTGATAATCTGGGAAGTAAACAGGGGTTTGGTGGAGACAAAGTTTTGATCGACCAAAGAGGACACACTAAACGCCTGCTCGCTAGTAAAATTGCCGTAAACTAAGCAATTCAGACAGAAACGAGCAAATAGTCTGGGTATGTAATTTTGAACGTCTTTGTGAGATATGTCTAAAAAAATAAGTTCCTGATTAAAACAATTATCCAGATGGCCCTAACCGTTCTACTAAATAAAGTAAAAATTATGAATGTTAATTTATAACTACTTTTAAATTTTGCTGTCAAATTTCCAAATAATAATTGAGATTAATAAGAGACCTGTAATAAAACGTTTGGGAAAAGTATGGAAAAAATTAGATACTCCAGAACTTTCCCGTTTCCTGGAACCTCCGAAATTGCCATTAAACGGAGATAAAAATATTTATATAAGCGCTGGGTTATTAGATGAATATTTCATCATTTTATTTAGATAATTTTCAAAATTCAAGTACCATTCATTACGATATTACTTAATTTAGTATTATATCATTATAAAAACTATTTTAAATCAAATTAAATGATTTTAACTATTTTTTGTAAAATGTATGAATACAATAACGCGCATATATAAATGATAAAATCTTAGAAAATAAATAAAAAATTAAAACATTAAATTTAAAATAATGCTTTTAATCAAAATTTTGATTTTATTTTATACTCATTGAATGACCCTCTGAATCTATTATTTTAAATCACGTAGAGAATGACTATATATCATTCCCAATTACAAGCAATGATATTTAAGTATTAAATGCTATAGTATACCTTGCAAGGATTCAATCAACTCATCTTTACTCCAATGAGAATCGTCCAAAAGTGAGTTCGTAAAATACATAGCATGGTGATAAGGTAATTCGGCAAAAAAGTTTTTGAGATTCCTAGTGTGCTTTTATTTTTTAGAAAGTATTATAAACAGTGGAAGTAGAACCCTCTTAAAATTTCTAAGATTTCCAAGTACCGGTTCTAACAAAAGTGAAATTAATTTTAAAAGATTTATCTATTATATTGTTTAATTTTTTGATTGGCCACACCAAATTTATGAACCGAAGCCAGAACCCTATTTAATCCAGATTCCAAACACTCTGGATATTTAGGAAAATATAAATCATGACCAGTCTAAATATAACAAAATGAAATTAATTATGATTTCAAATTTTAATAATGTTTATTTAAAATTTTGGTATAAGCTGGAGTTCAATTTTTTATTTAAAAAATATATTGGACCATTTATTCCATGTCAAATAGATTATAAGAAAACAAAATTTTCGCAGGACCCCTTGGGTAAAATATTGTTTACAAGCTAAGTTGCATGTTCAATTTTAGCATCCTAGCTCTTATATTTTTGGAGATATTAAGGATTAAATATAAAAAATGAACTATATTTACTCTTATCGATTGATTGTCATTCAATTAACGATTTACTGAAAACTATAGAATTATTCTAATATCAAAATAAAGTATTTACTGTCTTGACTTATGATTTGGAGAAATTCATTAGAAAGTGTAAATGAGATAAAGAATATCTTAAACATGTAGATTTTAGAAAAATAAATTAATATACGTTGATTTATGAGGCTATTAAATTATCTTAAAATTTTGGGGTATAAAAAAAGAGGTGATTGACGAATGTGTAGAAATTTATAATTAAGAAGTTAAATCATTTTTGTTTTGTTATAAATGAATTAGCAAATGTATAGATGTGAGCGGAGTGAATTCTAGGGGAGAAATCAGGGGGAACTCATTAGAGAGAAATAGGAGAGTATTCATGAGGAATCACTGGAGAAAAATCGAAGGGTATTCTAGGGGAGAAATTGGGGGAACTCATTGAAGAGAAATCGTAAGGAGTAAAAGTATGTATATGTGGGATGAAATTTAAAAGGAGAGATATAAAAGAGGTTTAAATTTTTTGTAAGTGTTAATATATTGGGAAAGTATTAATAGAAATCTTAGCCTTAAAGAGTGCTTGTATATTTCTTAATAAATCGATGAATTAGTAGATAATAAAGCTGAAGTAAATGAAAGGGGAAAGAAAATGAGTTGATCAAACCAAATATAGTCATGGGATGAAGATCGACCATAAAATATCGAAGAAATCCTTTTTATAACAAAAAAAAAGGAGGAAAAGTGTTAAGAAAAATAAAAAATTGATTGTGTTATTGGATAGATTATTAACCCTTGTAAAAGAAATTGTGAGAAGTATGAAAACTCAATAAAGACTATGGAGGTGAACCATTCACGTTGGGCCTATATAACGATTTTTGGGGTGAGCGAAGCAGCAAATACCCACTCGTCAGCGAAACTATTAGGGAATTTAAAAAGGATTGACAGCAGCTATATGATCAAGGATATTTAAAGGAAGATAAATTCATAATTTTTTTAGGTCCATTTAATTCAATTCTAAATTTAAAGTCCGATCATAAAAATAATTCTTTGATTTTTTAATAAATTTTAAGATGCCACCAAGACAATCCATATATATGTCAAGTTTTCGTTTTCATGGTAAAAATCATTTAAAAAGCTAATGTTCTAATATTATTGTATTTTACATGATATTCTAATTATATATAGTAAAGAAACCACAACCCTTATGAAATATTTTAATTTTTATGGGTAAGAAAATATTCTAAAAGTAAATTATTATAACCATATTTTCCAAAAATATTCAAACCATCCATCAAATCTTTAAAATATTTGTCAAATTTAAATATTTTCATGAATCTGTGTTATTATAAAAATATCATAAATATATTTTTAAAATAATATTCAAACATTACTTATATATGACATCTATCGAAAAAACTTGTTTTTAATATTTTTATTGATTTTCCGCATAAAAATGTAGTATTCCAATTTTTTATAGTTACAGTTCCTAAAAATTTTATAAAAATTGGAGAAACTCATCATAAGTATAAATGGAACGCCGGGTTAAAAAAATAAAATATTTTTTAGAAATAGAATGTATACAATTTTGATATTATAATTATTATATATAATTCTGTCGTTTTTAGTAAATCTCTACATACTTTGACTTTGATATTCTCAAAAATATAAGAGCTCTGATGCTTTTCTGAATATTGCTTTATGTGTAATTTTGTACAAATCCCAAAGAATAGAAAATCGTGATCGATTTAACATGGACCCATCTTCTATTTTAAATTTATTTTAAACCAATCAATCAAATTATAGTCGATAGTCGTTTATGAGATTGTATTTTCATTAGCATTATATGGCTAATCATAAATTGAAACTTTGCATTATAAATGATACTAAATATATAAAATTGCTTACAGATTCTTTAATGATTTCAAAACGTTTTGGTTCGATGACAAGATCTTTCATTTTAGCAAAAAGTTCGTCTAAAAATATCAGCTGTTTTTGATTGTAACCTCTAACTGATAGCTGAAAAATAAATTAGTAAAAAATTAAAGCGATTATCTTTAAAGTTTGGAAATTATTATGTTGCAAGGGGGTATATGCGCCGTGTTGGCACTTTGCAGTAAATCACGGTTAACATATCTTTCTCTTTAAACAATTTTACAAGAGAGAAATAAAAAACAATACATTTGGTTCCGATTAAAATAGGTAGGTATATTTTATTATAGGATGATTTTTTTTATGGGAAGGGATGAACGAGAATGAGATGAACCTCTAAGAATAAGATTTTGACCCTATCCAAATTTATAGCAAATGTGAAGTTAACCATTTAACAGTACATTCTAAATAAATGGTCATAAAAATAAAGTTCATAATGTTAAATAAAATTTTATTTAGCTAATTAATATTAAATGTATCTTTCTAAACTTTCCATGATAAAAAAAAGATAGTTTAAAATATTTAATATAACATTTAAGCCCTGTTTGGTATTTTCCATATTGTATGACAATCCAGCTAACTCTGCATTGTACGCATATTCTGTTATGGCATCTTTGAAAAGCTGAACGTATAAATAAGTCATGTTGCAATTAGCGGGGTCCAAATAAGCTAAAGGACTATTGGATGCAACAAATTTAAAAATTGCGGATCAAAAAAAAATAAATAGAATAAATAATAATTGATTAAAATATATAAAATTAATACGTCAAAAATTCAAAATTCATGTATGATTTGGGAAGGAGGTAGGTGTCGTCTTGTTTGAACCATATTCGGAGTTTGGGATCATCCTATTAAATAAAACATATAAGAATAAATTCCAATAATAAATCACTCGAGTTAGAAGTGGATATGTGAAATGAAATATCTATCGTATATTCAGGTTTCGAACCGTTAAGTATCGGTTCAGTTCTATCCAGGTTTTTGAAGAAATTCATATTGGCTTGTCTGGCTTTTATAAATTTGATTTTAAAAAAAACTAATCATATAATTTAACATCAAAATGCAAAACTTGCTTTTATTTTTAACTCAATGTGAGAAGAATTAATAATTAGATACTGTCTTAGTTTTTAGTATCTTCACCATTTTATAATTCACAAATAATTATGATAGGTAACAAGTCTTTAATGTGGGCCAACAAACATGACTAGACTTATTTGTAATCGAAAAATATCCCACAAAATATCTTTTAATATCAGGTTACATATTATGAATTCAATAAATCTATATAATAATTAAAAAATTTAATAATAATGTATTACTTTTATTAGGTATGGCATTGGGGTTTGCTATAAAAATATAGAAGAATAAAAAAAATAAATGAATATAAGATAAGTTTAACATAATGTAAATTAATATTTATTAATAAAACCTCAGATTTCCCAGTTTTTGCATAGATTGTAAAATCGTTGGGGATAAAAGAATTTGGCTTAGGCAAGCTCAGTTTAGGATTTTTCCCGGGATTCAACCATTTCTAAAATTATAGGATAATTAATTTATTTAATTTGCATCAATAAAAATATTATAAATCAAGCGGTTTGATAAATTTTGATAGTTCTGCAGATCTCATATTTTTATAGACATATTATCCAAAATAATAATAATCTTTAAAATAAAAAAGGTTTATATGCAAGAGATTATATCTATACTTGAATAATTTCAGGAGATATTTTTTTTGAGCTATGATCTGTACCATACCAAGGTTCTTTTTGATCTGTCATACCAGTAAATTTACGTCCAACCACATACACCCTGTTATTTATTCATTATAGTTAGATTAAAGCTTGGAAACGCATAAAATATAAGCTTCAGAAAAAATGAATAAATTTTTGCATTTTTACAAAAAATTGTCATCCCTAGATATTATATACTTTTAATTTTCAACTCCGATGAAAAATTATTCATATAAAGAATAGCTTCAATTTATCCATCATTGTTTAAATATTTGTGACAATATCTTTATTACACAATTATACCTCATTCTTTCGGGTGTAAGACAATCCAACAATTTCATAACTAGATCGGGCCTGTATTCGGTGAGAATGTAATCACAACTTAATACATCATTCAGTGGATAGTCCTAAATGTATATTGTATTTTTAAATATTATTAATAAAAATAATCACAATAAGAGCTAAATAAACTAGATAAATATATTAAAAACAATCTTTCCATAGAACTAACTATATTTTACATATCATTAAAATGGCTATAAACGGAATTATAATAGGGGTATCTAATGGGGGAATTTTGCTCTGTAGAAGAAAACAAATTTTACTGCAAAATAATAAGCAATTTAATTTGATAAAAATAATATTTTATTTATAATAATTTTGTATATACTAACTATCGATTAAGAATAACCAGTCAATAAATTGTTATATTAGAAATATTAAATCAATTATTAGATAATCTATTTGTCACTATGTCCAAAGCTATTTTTTATACTTAAAAATTTTAACTTAGTTTATATAGAAAGGTATAATTATTTACAACCATATATTACAGTAGCTATTAGAAATATTAAATCAATTATTAGATAATCTATTTGTCACTATGTCCAAAGCTATTTTTTATACTTAAAAATTTTAACTTAGTTTATATAGAAAGGTATAATTATTTACAACCATATATTACAGTAGCGTACGCAGGAATTTGGTGTGGGGGGGGATAATTAAAATTTTTTAAAATAAAATGATTGTTATTTGAAAATATCAAGCATAAATTTATTAGGACTAATAACTATTTCTAATATACAAATTTAAATTAATATGAATTATAAAAAATTAAATATATAAACCGATATATAAAAATAAATTTGATTTAAAAAATATTAAACGAATATAACCGGCGGCATATAAATACTTTAAATAAATCTGAATTATAAAATATTAAGTGGATATAACCAGGATATGATGACTATAAAATAAATAATCCATAATAGAAATTTAAATTTTTTTGAGCTTTTAAAATTTATATATAAAGTAAAAAAATCTAAATGTTGGAAATATGAATAATTATATTTTTTATGTAAAAGAAAAATATATAAGACATTAAAAAATGATAGCACAAAAAATATTATAGAAACATTATATTTTTATAATGTAAAATCCAATCTTCGTTGGGAGGGAGCTAATTTTTCAATTATCTCATCCGTGTTTGGCGTCAAATGTCTATGAATATTCAAAAGGGCCAGACCATTCAACCTACTTTCAGAAGTTGTACTTCTTAGGTACGTTTTTAAACTTCTTAAAGAAGAGAATGTTCTCTCATTAGTTGCAGTACTAATGGGAAGAGTTGCTAATATATATAATAATTTCAATATATTAGGGAAATAATCTAAAAGATGTTTGAAATGATGCAAAGCATCATAGCATTTTTTGGGACTATATCAACCATAGTTAATCTTTTATACCATAGTTGGCATTCAGCTAATAAAGCATCATGAGATACATTAATGTCTTCATGATAAAAATCTTCCAAATATTTTATTTTTTTTCTATCACCATCTGAAAAAGGTTCAGAGGGCTTTTGCGGAAGTAATATCTGCAGATTGATAAGTGTTTCTTGATAAATTAAAAACCTTTCATTTACTTGGGTTATAAATGTATCCAAAAGAGGTATAAAGACATTTATTTTATAATATTCATCTATTGACCCTATATTTGGACGATAAGTTTGCCTTACTGTAAGTAGAGGGAGACAAATATTGAACTCGTATAGCTCTGCTTTTGATTCAACATTAACATATAAAATTCCTCATCAGCATTAGCTCTAATTTCTTTGAGTTCTAATAAAATTGTCTCTGCTATTCTCATCATCTCAATCAAATCAATATCAGGTTTTTGAAAAGTATTACATAAAATAGTTGTATAATTAAATAATTTATTAATACATTCTAATGCGAAAAAAAAATTTGGTATAAGTATTGAATCCAGTAACTTGCTTGCTTCTGAAGAAATATCTTTTTCAGACATTGTGATATTTCTATAAGAGCATTAATAATCAGCTCTTCTAACTCGATAAAAGCTGTTACTGCTTGATGTCGAAGACTCCATCTTGTTGGACAAGCTTTTTACAATTTTTTTCTCCTTGTTGGGCAAGGAGTTTCAGATATAATTCTGTTCAAAATATTTTGACGCTTGGGGTATCTAAACATCTCATAGATGCTAGATATTTTACCTGATATAAATATAAAAAATTTAATTTAATAATTAAAAACCTAAGCAATTTGATATCAATGGTAAAGAACATGAATCCGATATTGCTAAGTTGAGTGAATGGGCAGCACAGTGGACATATATAGCTGTTGGGCATTTTTTTTTAATAAATGCCTGAAGCCCATTGAATTGTCCACTCATTTCACGTGCTCCATCATACCCTTGCCCACGTATCATATTTATATTTAGCTATATTTTTTAAAATAATTATATAATAAGATTAATTATTACTTTTAATTTTTTAAGATTCACAAATATTACATCAGCTAAAGCAGACCCAGTCATGCTTGAAACAGGAATAAATTAGAGAAACATTTCCTTGATAATGTTTTTATGAGTATCTACATATCGCGCACACAACGACTGCTTAATGCCAGCAATGTCCGTGGTCTCATCTGCCAAAATTGAGAAGCATGGGGCAGAATTGATTTCAACAATCAATTTTTCTAAAATGATATTGTTGCGAATATCAATTATCTCATTTTATATCCTAGGGCTGAGATAAGTAGCATTTTTATTGGTACTAATGAGGCTCTCCATTAATACAGGATATCCTAATGCTTAAATTTTAAAAGTCCACGGAAATTACCTTCGTTATCATTATTATTAAAATTTAAGCTTCCTGAATCCTTGTGGCCACGAAGTTCTAGGCCTTGCAAGCCACAATATAAAATAGCCTCAATACTTAGTTTTATCTTGCCTCTATTTTCTTTTGCAATTTTAACCCTATTTTTATCAATTATTGATGAAATGGGAATCATATCCCCCTTTTGAATTGATTCTTTTGAGGAAATCATCAGTTCACATCTTTTGTTTATTAAATTATCATACTATACTTTTTTGCTTTTTAGCATGATTTTCACCTTCAGCGTTTTTTTAAAAAAAGTCTAATATCCATGACTAGAAATTTGAAAATTATAATACCGGGAAATTTAAAAATAATAGATAAATATTACGCCACAAGGAAAACTTGAAAATGAAATTAATTGATAAAGTAAATTAGTAAATGAAAAAGGTAATATTATAAAATTTTAAAAAGAAATAGATATGAATAATTATAATAAAATATAAAAATATAAAAAATAATATTTTTGAAAAATATGTCCGGCATCTGCATTTTGGCTTTGGGGGGGATTTGCCCCCCCCCTCCCCCCGCTGCGTACGCCAATGATATATTATATAATTTTGTTAATAAAAATAATATTTATTTTTTTGAATATAAATAATATGTCGCGTCTGAATATCTGCCATTATATCTGGATATTAAGGATATATACTATCTTTTCAATAATGAAATACTCAATCTAATGAACACAGCTTATAATCAAATTATTTTAATATCTAGTGAGGCATTCCATCATTTAATAGTTTTACTTTCCACATATTTTTCCAATAGATATAATATATCGTGTTTATTTGTGAATGGGATTAGGAAAAAATTAACAACAAAAACACATTACACAATTTTGAGTAGATCAATAACATTTTCTTTAGATATGACTTGCAATGAGATTAATTTATGTGATCAATATTAAATAATAAATCTTGATTCTCAACTAGTATTAAATTAGCCCGTTTATTTGTATTTTACCAGTATCAAATTATATAGAAGTAAAATAAATACTATTTAAAATATGAGCGCACCCCAGCCGCTGGTTGGACACAAGCGGGCTGAAGGCAGCAAGAGTCTAGCTACACCTATAGTTACTATATAAAAATTAATTTGTCCAAAATTACCTGTAATTTGGAAGCGATATCGGATACGTAAGAGTCGGGAATCTTTTTATCGTGAAATCTGAATTGCAGAGCTCCAATGTCCTAGAATAAATATTCACATGAATATGTTTAGAGATATAACATTTAATAGATATAGATAATAAAGGAAAGAGTTAAATTATTTGTTTTTGATTCTTTCTAGTTTCTAAATAAAAAATTTAAAAAAATATTAACTCTGCATTCTTCGAAAATCCATGGTTGAGGTAATTCCCTTTTAAGCATATCAATATATTGAAAAACGGTACTGATTATTTCTTCCACGTTATCTATATGCATATTACAAGTAAAATGATGGCGAATTAGACAGGTTCGGGAACTCGCTACAATTAAAAACCGAGTTCAGTTAAGGGCAAAAAAGAGGTGAGTTTGTTTGGGCTTAGGAGCTCTACTTGAACCCGATTCGGCTTAACCCTCTACATAGAACCTAGTGACATTAACTTAATAACAAGTATATGCCATGATTCGTGACCGACCATATTCCAAACTACTTAGCATCTTTTTTTGGTATGTTATTTATATTGTGCAGTGTATTGGTTTGATTTTTATACCATAATATAAATAATAGTACTCATTCAATGACTTTAATTAAAGTTGTTAGTTGTTTGCCTCTATGCAAGTTATAAAAATTTATATGTAAATATGCCCATATAAAAAGGCAATCTCAATTTGATTGCAGGGTAAATATATTATATACTAATAAGCTTAATTAAAATATATAATATTGTTTAAATATTTTTTTATTTAATTTCATATAATACATTTCAAAAGGTATTTTGGTTTTTTAAAAATACTTTGCATTTTTATGTTATAACAAAACGTTCCATAAAAACGGAAATGAGACACAAGTCCCTACAAAACAAGCATAATTTTATTTAAAATAATGATTTGCATTTTTTGTTTTAGAAAAAAAACCATGGTTGCTGATGTATGGCTCTGATTCTGCCGCTCATATTTAAAAAGAAATCCTCTTGACATATGTACACAAATTAGTTTAATTCAGAGAATTTTTTAGTCTTGGCAATATGAAGCGGATGTGAATTAACATTTTTTAGAAAGGAAGGGATGGGTGTGAATTAAGCATTTACTTAAAGACCAGGTAAGTTAAACCATCTGGTTTCAATTAGCAGCCTCCAAAATGTTTGGTACTCAGGCTCTCGTAAATGGCTAATTATTGCAATATTACCCCAAGCCTTGCATATCTGCCTTGGATATAGACACTATTTTGTAACAGTTAAATAAAGGGGGAGAATATATTAAGAAAATTTCCAATTAGATGTTTAAAAATTGATTGGTGAGGTCAAATTTAAAAGGTTATCTTTGGGAATGATAAAGAAAGATATTATTGCGTTATTCATCAAACTTGATGCTAAAAATTGAGATATAAGGTTTACTGGTTATAAAAATCTAACCTCACATTTTGAAGGCAATTATGAGAAACCCCAATTTAAAATATTTTGTGACATATTTCTAAAACCTGCATGAAAGCAATTAATTTCAATTTTTTATAAGAGTGATTTAAAAATATGCAAAATTTAAAAAACTTAGCTATGAAGATATCTTTAAATCCTGGCAAGCTTTAAAAAACTTTTCTAATACCTCACAGTTGGGGAGACTTAATAAAGGTGAAACAAAAAGATTTATTTGACATTAATAACTTTAAACTCTGAATAAGAGGGGATTTGAATTTAAAAAATTCGGTTTAGATATATTTAGAGTAAGGTCTATTTTTAGATAAGTCAACTTTATTCTGCTAAAATATTTTAAAATAGTCAGCAGGTGGTACCATCATCCACATAACGTATATTTATGTGTTTAAGTAAAAAATGAAAGAAATTATTAAGTTATGTAGGCCCAAGCTAAAAATGAGGGGACCCAAAAGGTCTAAGATGGAATTACACTATTCCTAAAATTTGGATACTACAGCGATAAAATTTCAATAAACTTTGCATAAAAATTTTTTAAATCTAGCATACCGACCACGGCATCTGGCGGAGGACTTACAGTATATATGCATAAAAAGTGAGTAACTATTTCGCATTTCTCTTTAATGCTAAAGCTTAGTTGATGTGTTTGGTAGATTTTTGAAGCATCAGGTTTGATGTGCTCAACAATCATCTTTGCCATTGGTTTCCTAAAATGACCTACTACAATGAAACCCACCATCAGGCTTGCTTCAATTAATGAGCTTGGTTAGTTAAATTAATATATTTTCGCAAAGTATAATAAATGAATTTACAAACGTATCTTAAATAGGATTTTTAGGGTTATTTAAAAATGTAAAAAAGAATTTACATTAAAAGATAGAACTGTTTCAATATATTGACCCTTGCCTATTTTGATTGAATTAAATTTTATAGGAGTGGAGTTTACATTAAAAGATAGAACTGTTTCATTATATTGATCCTTGCCTATTTTGATTGAATTAAATTTTATAGGAGTGGAGAGGTGCTCAGAAAAAGCCAGAGGATGCATTTCTTTCAATAATAAGAGGGCCAATTCATTACATGAGGTGAATTTGAGAGCTCCATATACTCTATTTTTTAGAAATTATTTTACATTTCTGAGCAATAAGAGACATAATTTTCCATTTATAGTCATAAAAAATGTTCTATTCCATGCTTAATATGATCATGTAAAGACAATTGTTTATCTGTTGATTTAATAAAGACTACAAGAAGAAAGGTTTACCCCATGCTTAAGGGAATTTATTCTACGACCAAGGTCAACTATCTAAATATATGCATTTTATATAAAATGCACTGAACCCGAGGGTCTCAGGTTCGGTTAATTTTTTGTTACAATCTAGATTAAATATTTAAATTAAACTGGGAAATTCATTTATTGGGTATATTCCATTTTCGGTCAATACAAAATATCTTGTTAAATGTTTTATAAAATAATTTTTTCAAAAGAAATAAAATAAAGGGGGCCAAATCTGATCATTTTGCTCATGATTTTAAGCAGCGAATGGCAAAAACGAAGTGAATTTTTTTTAAAATATGCACAATCTTTATTTATTTAAACCTATTCCTATTTCCGTCAAATCTCCACTTATAGTGAAAAACATGTAGCCCTTCGCTCCGGGTTGACTTCCCCCACAAATACTATTAATCCAACCTTTGGCCTTGAGGTAAGATAAAATACTGTTTTCCCCTTCATGTGCTATCAAATGACCTATTATGTTTCCGGGCTGTTTATTGTATGGTAAATATAAAAATGATATATTCAAAATACCTAATAGAAAAGGCTAACCTCACTTATATTTTTAAACGTGTATTTATTAACAATCAAAACTTTTATGATTTTAGCCATATAAAAATAAAATATATTATATATATTTAAACATAATTACAGATAAATTCGTTCTTGGTGACACAAATTGTAAGAACCTCAGAATCACACTTTTCTGATTTTTTTAAGGTCCTTTCCTGTTCTGGTTCTTTAAGGTTCCGATCTCTCGTTATTATCTTAGAATAAATTAAATTTTAATAATTGGTATTGAATAGTAGAACTTACACTCGATTTGTAGAATTTAGTGAGATCAGGTATCGGGAAAGTAATGTAAAAATACCTCAAATCTTTAACGGGTACCACGTTGATTAATAACTATATAAAATAATTAATATAAAAAATAGATAGATGTATAGTAGTTATAAAATCAATGGGAGCGTTATGAGTATGGTAACTAGCTTATATTTAAAAGTATTTTATTGATTCTAGCAAATCCCGTTGTTATATTGAATTTTGACAAGATGTTCGCCTCGAATAATGAACAAATCAAAAATCTTAGTTTCTATTCATTATTCGAACCCTTGTTAAGATTATAACTAATCTTAGACACAAGATGGTATACCAATTAGAAGTGTCTAAATAGAGGCTGATCCGATATCAACCGATTATATCTAATATTTTTTTTATTGTTCATTTATAACTAATTAAATATATATGATTTTTAAATATTCCTATTATCCATGTAATCTTTAATTGCAGGAGACCGGGGTGGGGGTAAGAAAAAAAAGGCTGATAATCTTTTTACTGAATATTTCAAATTTAGCCAAAAGATATATTTTAATATTTAATTTCTATCATATCTTCACTTTTAAAGTGGAGAGGATATATTGATCAAAAACTTTCCTAGAAAAAGTAATTAACTAATTATTATTCGAAATCTAAACTAAAGAAAAAGTAATTGTAATGGAAAAACTGTCACAGAATTGATAGTAACCATTTCACCCAAGGTAATTGACCTTTTATCTCTATGATAGGCATAAATCTTGGAAATGTTAACGTATATTGATAATAAGGTTATCAAGGCCTTAGATTTAAAAGAATAAAACTTTATTACAATAAAGAAAATCTATCCCTTTTGATCCCGAACTCCCCAACCATTTAAATTTTTTAAAATACCATATTTGTAAAAAAATTCCTCCATTATATTAAATAAAATCAATTATCCGTAATTATGATATGACCCATTTAATCAGATATTTAAAAATAAGTATGCATTCTTAATAATGATAATTATTTATTTAAAGTTTGTAAATTTATTAACTTGCAAATATTCTTCGGTGTATGGGTTTTGATTCCACTCGGGTATAGTGATATTTTTGTTTTCAACACCACCAAACATTTCAACAACCCATTCCGTTAATTCGTCGATGCTTTCTTTAAATATTTTTAAAATTAGCATTTTATTTAAACAGGAAAAATTCTAAATGGAAAAAAAGGCAAGGCCTAGCCAGGGTTATCCACAAAGGCAATAACTGAGGATATTTTATAATTAAATTAATATTAACATTACGTTATAATAACATAAACCTTTTCCAAGAACAGCGAGGCCCATAATATTGGACGAGTACCATTCATGGTGAAATTTCAGCAATTCTTTATGCACATCAAGACCCGTAGCTTTGGGGGTTGTTAGAAGGGTCTTCTTATTACCTAGTTAGAAAAAGAAATAGATAACATTATTTTTTTATTCTGACGTATTTTAAAGTTTTTTATCAACAACTTGGTTATACAATAAATCTAGAATATTATTAGTTTTCTTTGGCATGTATTTATATTAATTGATTCAAAAAATTTTTGTATTCTTATAACTGGATGTGGATATTTTAAAGTTGGGAAACCCGATTTTTAATTATTATTTTGGAGGATAAGACATTATCAACAATATTTTTTTTATATTTAATTTTAAAAGATTATTTTGGATAATATTCATGAAAAAGAAGATCGCTTCAGATAAACTTGGTAAAATACAGAAAGTCCAGATAATATTTTTTTGCCAATACCGATACCAAAAGATACTCAAAATTAGGCAATAACGCTATTTTTTGGGAAAGAAATGAAGGTAATCCGAATCAAAATTTTGAGAATAATTAATATATTCTTTAAGTAACGTTGTTTTAAATGTAATCATTAATATAGATTTTCTCGCTATATAAATTTTTACGGAATTTAATTTTTTTTTTATAACTTATCAATTCAACCGAATATACCTATAAAATAAATATTATGAATTTTCATTAAAATTTATATCATTAATACTTATTAAGGATATTTCGGTCTTAAAATTGAATGCTTTTTAAAATCTATAAGTCAAAAACTAAAAATCATAATAAACGATCCCAATCGTAACTTCTTAAAACAAAAAAATATAATTTGAAATATTCAGAGGTAATTTTATGTTTTCGGAATATTTTTTCTATATTTATTAAAATTTTTATTTAATAAATTAATTTTCTATAATTTATAATATCGCGGAAAAATAAAATATAAATGTCTAAAAAAATAATTTTATTTGTATGTATGACCATATCTATAGAAAATTATTCGATTTTCGATTCAAAATTTAAGAATAACAAAAAAATGGCGACCGGTATCGGATCTGACTGGGTAATTAATTTTTCCTAGGATTTCATCTCTATTTGCTATGTTTATTAGAAAAAATAAGATTTTAGAATTGGAGTAGCTAATTGTGTTCCTAAAAATAAATTTTTTTAGAATTTTGATTTGATTTTTTGGCGAAGAATTCCGGTTAGTCGATGAAATGATAGGTGATAAAAATGTAGTTGGTTAATTTTAATATTTTTAAAGATCAGAGGATTGGTGTTAATATTCATAGGGAACGACGACACATAGTCTCATATTAACCATTTTTCTAAGTCACATGGAATAGCAGCCTATTAGGATTTAGTCCAGCGTCTAAAGATAATTTGCTAAATTATTTTATAATATATGAATCTACATATCCCGATCATAATTTTGTATTAATTTGTTATGATAAATAAAAATTGAGTATTTGAAAAAGCTTCATTTATTAATCTCTTTTATTTTTTTATGTATGATCTCAAATATTTAAGTAAATTTACACAACTTTTCTATAATTTTATTTTTACAGTATAATTATGTATAGAAGAAAAAAATTAATATAAGTATTAAATAAAGTAATCCAAAATAGTATAGCATTATGGGCGTGTCCTGGTTTGACTTATTTTTAATACTTAGGGTAAACAGAATCTGAACTAGGACACCCTATTTTGGTTGGTTTTAAGTGTGTACAAGTTCGTCATTTTTTTAAAAGAAGACCTAATAGCCATCGAACAGTCAAACTTTTTTGAGTGCCCTAATTTTTTTAAAATTTTTGTTTTAATAGAGTAGAGTAAAAATTGAACAATAAATAGTACATTTTTAAAAAATCAAAATGTTTTTCTGTTCGGCATTAGTAATAAGAAATAAATACAGTATAAAATATGTATTTTTATAATAAAGTTAATTGCCATGCTCAAACATATATAATTGTTAATGTTATAGTCTACTTTTAATGGCGATTTCAGCAGGTTAGCTAGTATCCCCTCTGATTTTTCTCATTTGACAGTCCTGGCCATCAACCTTTATCCACGTCATCTTAGGACTTCCTCGATATCTTGATCCTCCTACTTGTATTAAGGTTCTCTTTAACCAGTCATCTTTTGTCCTACATTCCACATGCCCAAACCATCTTAATCTTTCAATAAGTTCTATTCCCATCCTTACTAGTTTTTCTCTCTCTCGGAGATACCCCACACATTCATCTAATCATCCTCATATCTATTCTTTCCAATTTACTTCGTGAGCCACTTTCAATGCCCATGTTTCGCCGCCATAAACTAAACCACACCTCACACACCATTTTAGAGTGCATTTATATTTTTTATGATAACCTAATGCAATTTCTTAAACTTTATCATCCATTCAATGAGTTTTATTTTATCTTGCCCCTATATAAGGTAAACTATGAATAAATTTGTTTATATATTTATTAAAAAATTAAATGAGTGGTATTTTTGAAATCTAAATAGCCTTTAATTATCAGGCTGTTTAGAGGAAAAGATAGTCGAGTCGGCTAAACAGATGGCATTCAGAAATAAGTCGAACCAGGACACAACTATATGCTTATAATCCGAATGAAATTTTAAATACACCTAAACCCCATTTTTTTGAAGTAATATAGTTGTACTTTAATATATTAAATTTGTTAAAGACATTTGCCCATCCCAATCGATACAAGATGTCATATTATTATGTTTTTTAAGATTCTACCATGTATTGTGCTATTAGTTTTGTGGAGAGTTTGTGTATTTTATGAACGAAAGAAAAGACATTTATTATTTATGAAAATTATTAAGAAAGATAATTTTAATTTTTAGTTGTGGATAAAAAAATTAATAATCGTTTTTATGGATTTTAAAAGATTTTATTTTATTTTGAAATATTTTTTTTATATGCAAGAATTATGATTATAAAATTTTTATGTAAATGGAAATAAAAGAAAAATTGGTTATAATTAAGATCACAAAATATAATACAATTTTTTTAAAAATTATTCAGTGTTACCTCTAGTTTTTCCCATTTGAATAGGCTTATTTTTAAAAAAAATTTCCACAATTAACTAAAAATGAAATGTAATTATATCTAAAAAAAGAAAATTACATCTATAAGCACAAAAGTAATTCTACTTAACAAAAAAGGACCGTGAATAAAATTTAATTTTTTCAAAGTTTTTAGGGAAGCCCCTATGCGCCCTCCCTTAACGACGCTACTGATAAGTAGTATTTATTGAAAATATAGCAAATATATAATTCATTAATATTATCATTTATAATTGATTTATGAAATTAAGACAATCTTTCATCATTTCATCAGCTCTACTAATAGATTTGTTAAGATTAATAGTAATCTGCCTTTCATAGCATCCAAGATGCCGCTAAGACAGAGAAAAATTTATTAATTACTTGACCAGCCTAGATTTAGCCAGATAAACTTGGAAATACTTTATAAAAAGGAAAATAAATTTAAAGTAAATAGATATAGGAAAAAAATTAATTCGATATCTTCTTCCTTTTCTATTGCTTTAGCAATTTGTATTTTTTTTATATGGCATAATGTAGGCTAGAAAATTTAATAAGAATTATCATATTTGAATATTGGGCATTGGTATCGTTTAAAATGGAAAGTCTCGACTGATATCGATACTAACCAATACCGTGAATATCGTTTTGGTAAAAAATTAACAAAATATTAAATGTCCTGGTTATCATACCATATCTATATAATATAATTTATTTTATGAATTATTGATCCGAAACAATATTTAATCAATAGCGCTAAATAAAAAATTATATATTACACTTAAATGTGTAAACCATTATATATATAAAACAAAACACACTCTATTTTTGATTTTTACTTAATATTTTTTATCGATTTATATTAATAAGTATATAGATTCTAATCTCTAAATTTGTTAATTCGTTATTATAAATAATAAATAGAATCATTGAAATCGGGAATTTAAACCTGTTCCAAATTTGTGAAAATCTTGTTCCGGGTGACAAATATGTCTTTCCAATTGATGAAATCGCCATGAATCTTGTTGTAGATTTTTATCGTTTTCGGCATGGACAGCTTTAGCTTCTCGCTCGGTAGCAGATGGGGTGAAGAGGGGAGTTATAAAAAATTGTGCGAATCTAACATATAAAATGAATATATTGTAAAATTATATTTAATAACCATTTACATCTAAAAAATATATAACGTGAACAGTTATTTTGGCACCCAAAAAATGAATGCTTGCATAATAATCACAAGATAATTTAGATATCATTAAAAAATTAACCTATTTGGCCAATTTAAAAACATCGGCCGACACTAAATTCTTTAAATGATCGATCCGATATTAAAAATCGGTATATCCGTAGAATTGATCGTCAAAGCTCGGGTGCAGACTGGTATGGTCCTTTTACTTCAAAAACTAAAGGTATACATCGGACAAATTGTGAAAATCAATCGGATTAGTCGGAATTAAATTTTTATTTATAATAGAAATTTTAATCCATATAAATAAATAGGGGTGTATCGAAGCCATTTTTAGAGGCTGATTCGATATTAAATTTATATCGGCCAATTACCAAACCGAAATCATCTGATTCAGCAGTTGTTTAGTTGTATTAAAAATTGAGCTTGCTCAAAAATTTTGAGCAACGATCTTTACAGATCGATATCTTTGAAGATCATAAAATTTTAAGATTTTTTATTTTTTAAAAATTTTGAGCAACGTTTGTAGATCATAAAATTTTACGATCGAGATATTTAAGATTTTTTTAATAAACGATCGTCTTATAAGATGCTATAGTTAATTATTATTTTTGTAATTTTATTGAAGTAAATGGTTTAGTGATGAAATTAAATTAAAATTTCAATGAACATAGAAAGGTGACAATTTTCATAATCGTTATTTTTGAAGCAAATGGGCAAAAATATATATTAACATAATAAATTAAAATTCCTATGAAGATGTCTATAAAAAAGTGGCAATTGTCATAATCGTTATTTTTTTAACTTTCTTGACGTAGATGGGTATAATATATATTGTTGACATGTAAAATTAAAATTTCAATGAAGATGTTCCATAGAAAGGTGACAATTGTCATATTATTTTTTAACTTTCAGGCGCATATGGGTAATAAATAATATATATTATGATTCAAATGAAAATGTGACATAGAAATATAAAAATTATCATAATTGTTATTTTTTTTAACCAAATAGGTAAAAATATTAGTGCTGCAAATGTTACTTCAAAAAAGAAACACGCGTTACTGATTATTCAAAAAGTAACGCATTATTCGTTACAAACTATACAAAAATTTGCTATATATAATATAAATTTATAACAAAAATATATATTATAAAATGCAGAGTTGTTAAAGTAGCGCGCTAACTTTTTTGGTAGCTATAGCTAATAGGGGCTACTTTTTTTGTAATTATTTAATTTTTTAGCGCGCTACTTTTTTAAAAGTACTACTTAGCTATATAATGAAGGTAAGTATAAACATGAAAATTTAAATATAATATCATAATTAATTATAATTTTTATGATTTATTATTTAATTTTAAAATTGATATATATTTTCAATTTGTAATTTATATTTTCATTTGTATTATTAACCTAAATCACGTGTTAATAAATGTCATCACCTATGGATATCCAAATCGTTGAAAGTGATTCAGACAATGATATTAATAAAATGGAAGATACCAGGGAAGAAAATGTTCTTAATAGCTATAATACAAATTTACCTTTCCCTAGATTTTTTTTAAAATAAATATATAATCCAAAAATGGCTTCAAATTTATTAAAATGTAAAAAAAATATTTCCTCAAATCAATCTAGTAGCTATAACCTCAAAAAACACCTAAAGGTAAATTGTCATTTTTACATTCTAATAATATTTATTTTATAACTGTTCATGAGTTTTAAGGAAATGGAGAAACATCTAAATAATGTTGGTATAGGCGACTCTACATCCAAAAAGACTAATTCCATTCAAACCAAATTAATTAATAATGCAAATGACAATATTTCTTAGAAATTGGCTGATAAAGTTATTGTTGATTTTATAATTTATACAGTTCAGCCAATGTTCTTGATTGTCATCATTTACCATGATGATTAAAACTTTATCCTCTAGTACAACAATTTTATGCCGCCAGACACTAATGATTAAAATAGCAGATAACTTTAACATGATGAAAGATGCTCTAATAGTAGAGTTATCAGAGATATCATATATAAGTACCATGGCAGATAGTTGTATATATAACAAAGGGTAAAAACTTATTTATATTTATTTATCTGATTAAATATTTTTGAGCTTATTTGGGAATCACAGGCCATTGGCTAGACCCTAGGACTTTAAAAATAAGATCTATGGCATTAGCCCTCAAAATGATAATAGGATGCCAGACATACAATGTACTTGCAAATAAAATTATTGATAATCTATCTCATATTAAAAATGTATATAAGATTAAATACGCCCTTACCCTCAAGTGCGTGTCGAGAGATTATTTAGTAAGGCAAAACTTATACTTTCTGAACGTCGCTCTAGATTTGGGGATGATAATATTGAAAAGATTTTATTATTAAAATGCAACAAATTACCATAAATATTTATTTTTATTATATAAATTTTTTTATAATCAAAACTAACTATTTTTTAATATTTATAAATGTTGATTTTTATATATTTACTATACAACAGAGTTGTTAAAAGATACTTTTTAAATGGATCTAGATACAGATACAACGTCTAAAATAATATATAGATACAGATTATTTAATCAAAAATCTATCTAGATACAGATACCACATTTTTATATAAGTATCTAGATCCTTTAACAACTCTGCTATACAATAAAATTATAAGCAAAAAATAAAACAAATTTTTTTATGAAAAGTAGCTTAAAAAGTAGCTAATAGCAAGCTACTTTTTTAACAAATAGCGATAGCGGTAGCGTGCTACTTTTAAAAGTAGCGTTTAACAACTCTGATAAAATGAAATCTTTTTATAATAATTTTTTTTGCTTATATATAACATAAATAAAATTATATAAAAATAATGATAAGATATTTTTTTATTTATTTTTAACAATTGATTTTCAAAATTTTAATCAGATAAACAATATAGTGCTTAACACATCTTTCGCCGTGCTAAACACACGTTCAACTGACGCAGAGGATGGGAGGGCTGTATTAATTTAATAAATAAAAATTTTAATTGGGGGAATTTATTAAAAATTAAAGAATAACCCTAATTAAAAAAAGCTTAATTGATCATCTTCATTCAGATCTTCATCAATTTTATCTTTATCAGAAAATAATCTGGTATGTGTTGTTTTTTAAAAGAATCAAAGTCTAACTTTTATTTGTCAAAATATTTTATCAAATTAAAAATAAGCTCAAACTTTCTATCTTCGTTGACCTATAATTTTATTCAGAATCTAATATATTTATCTTTATAGATGTGTTTCAAATCTATTGTAAATAACTATAATCAAAATATAAATTGTAAACAATATTTCAACGGTATACCTTTTATCTATGTCTTGCAGGATTGTATTAATAATTGAAATTATTTAAAGCATTTATTAAGTTTTAATATTATGTTAGTTATCGTGGGAGTGAGATATCCCAAATATTCTAAAATCGAAAGAGTCGTAGCAACAGGTTCCATAACATATAAAATCATATATATACATATATTTTTTAATATGAATGACTTGTCATTATCTAAAAATCTCTGCGATTCGGATATGACATATATTGGATTTATCACAAGATTCATCAAATTACTCTTTAATAAGACTATTAATTACGCGGAGTTATAAAAAGAGTTCCATCTTGTTTAAACCAATTTAATCAGAAATTTTCCCATTTGTTCCTTAAAAAAGATTGCACAGTTTTGAGAAGCCCATCTTTATTCCATAATTGAGGAAATATTTGAGTTGGGATTTTACAAAGTGCAGACTTTGTACCCTTAATTATTTATTGGTGCAAAAGATGTTTCATAATGGGGCCAGGGAAGGTTGAATTATCTTCTCTGAAGAAATATGTACAATTGACATAATGTTCTTTATAAAATAAATTATAATTTTAGAGAATAGGAATATAAATTAACATATCTTGACTCAATATTAATTAGATTAACAATCTTGACTAAAAATTTAAAAAAATGAAGAATGGTGATTGATATGATTTAAAAACAGCTTAAATTATTCATAAAATAAATAACAATAATTTTATAATACAATAAAATATGTTGTTCCCATATTTTTAAGAAAAAATTAGAGTAGCGAGTAATGTTTTGCATTACCGTTACCAAAAAAAGTGACGCGTTACCATTACTCGTTACCTCTAGAAGGTAAGGAATGACGTTCCTTTTCTTCAAAAATTATAACGTACTTTACAGCACTGAAAAAATATTGTTAACATATTAAATTAAAATTTCAATGAAGACAATAGAAAAGTGACAATTGTCATAATTGAATTTTTTTTAATGTTAAATTAAAATTTCAATGAAGATGTACCATAGAAGAGTGACAATTGTCATAATCGTTATTTTTTAACTTTTTTCTTGCCCACAAACGTGTGAAGGGCTCAATATTTTTTCTTTCCCTTTAAATTAAATATCCAGTTTGATGGATTATGAGTAAGACCTAGTGTAGCTCTGTTGTTTGCCAACACTAAAGGGCTTCATGCTAAAATCACGTATTATTTATCTCATTCAAAAAAGGAACTAGAGTATAGTTTAATGCAGAACTATTAAATAATATTAATGGATCTCTAATATAAATATTTAAATTAAGAGTTTTTCCATCCAGCTTTTTAAACCATAGTTTTAGAATTTTTAGCAATTTGGAAAGCTGGACACATACTTATTCCATTCATTTAGCTATACATTGAATATATACTTTATGATTTTATATCAATTACTAATATCTGCATAGTTGAAGGTACATACTTTATAACATATTTTATTTTAATACATACAATAATGCTTGTACTAATATTCTTCAACATCTTAAGGGGCTATCACATTATAAAAATATTTTTTTGAAATCATTTTCTAAAGAATCCTGCAAATGCATCTACTCACAACTAAGCATAAATTATTTAGAAGATAAT